AATCCTGGTAATATGCTACAATGGTGGCGGCTAGCTTCTCTGGTGCTCTGCTAGGGTTTCGGCAGAATGGTTCTACTAGCTGTTGCTAATGCTCTAGCCTGAGCTGCTATCTCAAGATTTACTGGATTTTTCTCCTTACATCTCTGGATTCTTCAAGTTCTACTTTTCTCTAGCTCTTTCTCTCTTCCCGGGCATCTGTTATTCAAATTATTACTGTTCTATTGCTTAGCTCCACTTTTGTTGTTTGGTTTTTTATTTTTGAATCTTGGGGTTTGTCTTTGCTGGTTCATTTACTTACTCTACTGTCCAATCAGCTTCTCTTTTGCTCTGACTTGATTGTTGCATCTGTAATTTTGGCTCTCTGACAAATCCTATGTTGTGGTGGGTTTTCAGTAATGATTGATCCAAATGTTATTGACCTTGCTACTAATATTCAATGGACTAAGGCCACTTTTGCTTACATTGTTTGGAAAGGCTTTGAAAATGTCCAAAACCCTGATGACCTAGTATTCCCTCAAGAGTACAATGAGGGAAATGACCCTCTTTTCAAACCTATTTGCCAGAAAAATGGGAAGATGGTTATCTTTTATACTGAGGAGGACATCAATGGCCTTACTGAGAGCTATAAGTTCTCATTAATTGGCAAATTTCAACTTGGTCATCCTAGAATGGTATTTATGAGAAGATTCTTTAATGGACTAAAATTCAAAGGAGCTTGGAAAGTGGGGCTTCTTGATGGGAGGCACATACTCATCAACCTAACAAGCGAAGAAGATTATGCCAGAATATTCTCAAAACAATCCATATTAATTGAAGGTATCTCAATGAAGTAATTAAAGTGGACACCTAATTTTGACCCTAGTAAAGAATTTCCAATTGTCCTCATTTGGTTTAAGTTACCAGGGCTTAAACTCCACTTCTTCAATCATAAAGTACTTTTCAACATTGGCAAAGTTTTGGGCAGACCATTGAAGTTGGATGCTCCCACCTTTAATTTATAAAGGCCATATGTTGCTAGAATCTTGATTGAAAGAGACATTACCCTACCAGCTGTGGAGGAAATTTGGTTGGGTACTGGGCATAATGGATACTGGCATAAAATCATAGCTGATCAAAGACCATATTACTGCCACCATTGCAAAATGTTTGGCCACATTGATGAGAAATGCTTTAGGCTTCATCCTAATCTCAGAAGAAGGTTAGCTTCTAGATCTAATTCTTAGGAAAAAGAGGCCCAAGGAATTGAGATGTTAGCTGAGGATAGAACTGCAGCCCATGATTCTGAATTTTTTGTGGCAAGGACTGAGGAGGCTCCTTTATAGGAGTTGGCTTAGTTATCTCACAATATAGTTAAAAGTGTTGTTAATCCTAATAATTCTATGCAAGCTATTCGATTTCCTCTAGCTGAGCAACTTCACTGTACTGCTATCCCAACATCACCTCAAGTTGAACTGTTTCAATTTACTACAATTCAAACACCCCCTGTTGAAATTAGGGATACAGTCATTGATATCCTTTGGAAGATCCTTTGCTCTTACATATGGAAAAAGATTTAGAAGGGTACTGGCAAGTTCAGAAATCAAAAAAGAAGAAAATTTCCTGGAAATTAAAGAATCTCCTTCCTTCCTCTTCTTCTTTGAAGGAAGACCTCATTCTTCCCACTAGCACAATTAGGACTAGGAGGAGGCGAAAGTCCACCTCAGTTGGATGATGAATTTAATCTATTGGAATGTTAGGGGATTAGCACATCCTAGATCCCTTAACAGAATTTTGGCACTTAATAGGATGTATAAACCTTTGATCATTGCAATCCTTGAACCTATGATATCTAAACATACCAACAAAATTGTGAGGAAATTCCCTAGATTCCAACTACTTGTTAACACTAACAAGAAAATTTGGTTGTTCTGCAAGAAGGAAATTTAGTGTACTGTCATCAAGGATAGGGACAAATTTATACATTTGAAGTTTAATTTAAATAGTTATAATGGCTTTGCCTCTTTTATATATGTTGGCTTCTCCTCCATAGCTAGACAGGTTCTCTAGAAACAGTTGTAAGACTTCAGCAATTCTATGAGGGATTTCTGGTTTGTTGGGGGTGATTTTAACTATCTCTCTTCACCTAATGATAAGAAGGGTGGGAGATCTTCTGATATCAATCTTTTACACTTCTTCAATGATAAAATCCAGTCTGCTGGGCTATATGATTTGGGCTTTACTTATCCTAAGTACACATGGAGAAGGGGGAGGATATGGGAGAGGTTGGATAGAATTTTGGTGAATGACATTTGGTTTAGAGATTTTCTCCATACATCTATTCAACACCTTGCTATGAGTGGGTCTCACCATAGACCTTTACTTGTCAATATATCTGCTGAAAATAAACTATTAAAAGTAAATCCAACTTCAGATATCTTAATATGTGGTCCATGCATAGTGATTTTTTAAATCAAGTCTCCCTGGCTTGGGCTGATGTACATCATCACAACCCTGGTATCAAACTCTAGCTCTTACATAAAAAAGTTAGTAAGCAGCTCTTTAAGTGGAACTGGGAAGTGATGGGGAACATTGATAGCAAGGTTCTGGAGGCTGAAAAGAGCGTGCTGAATATATAACATCTCCTACTCAATGGTTCTGGGACTGAAACTGATTTAAATTTTGCTAATGAACAACTTCTGGAAGCCATTTCTATGCAAGAGGATTTCTATGCTCAAAAGTCTAATAGTATTAAATTCTATGATGGTGATAGAAATTCTAAATATTATCATGCCTGCATCAACTATAGGAGGAAATGCAATACTATTCACAAAATCACTACCCAGGATGGACAATTTATTACATCTACTGAAGTTATAGCTTTGAATGTTGTTCAGTATTATCAAGAAGTTTTCAAGCAACCTTCTGTCCCCAAGCCTTCCATTCAATGCACTCTTTTTGATAAGGAAAGAGAGTTCACTCAAAGCCTTTCACTCATTGATATACCTGATGAGAAGGAAATATGGGATGTAGTTAATTCTATTGATAGTTCTAAGGTTGTTGGACCAGATGGGTTCACTGCTGACTTCTATAAAAAGGCTTGGTTGATTCTGAAGGGAGATGTTATAGAAACAGTCCAAAGCTTTATCTGGGGTGCTGATCTCCCCAAATATTTCTCCTGCTCTACTATTACCTTGGCTCCCAAAGGAAAAGCTTCTCATAAATGGGAAAATTTCAGACCTATCAGCCTTACTTCTATTATTTCAAAGTTTATCAGCAAGTTTTTGGTTCATATATTACAGCCTCACTTGAATCAACTTATCTGAAAGAATCAGACAGCTTTTATCAACGGTAGAAGTATATTGGACAATGTTTTTCTGGCACAAGAGTTGGTATTGGATCTTTACAGAATCACTAGAGGAGGGAATATAATTTTCAAATTGGACATCAGAAAAGCCTATGACACGATCAATTGGAACTTTATTGAACAAGTTCTCATTGTCAGAGGTTTTCCCCTTTCTTTTGTTTCTCTAATCAATAGATGGCTAATAAACAATTTTCATTCAGTCTTTATTAATGGAAATTCACATGGCTTCTTTAGTGCATCCAGAGGTATTAAACAAGGTGATCCACTCTCTCCTACCATCTTTATTTTGGTTTTTGACTACTTATCCAGAGTTTTGAATGAGATGGCAATCCACTCCCTTTATAGTCATAGATCTTCCATTTTAATCAATCATTTGGCTTTTACTGATGATATTATTATCTTTTCCAAAGCTTCCAAACCTGCAGTTGGATCTTTTATGCAGTGCTTGGAGAGTTTTCAGGATATTTCTGGAATGAAATTGAACGTCCAGAAGTGCATTTCTGTTTTCAGCAAACAATGTAAGAGTGAATTTAAGAACTGGGTCTCTGACTTAACTGGTTTTACCAACAGCTGCCTTCATGTGAAATATCTGGGGGTGTTTCTTATCAAAGGCAGAACTAAGAAATTTCAGTTTGATCATATCCATGAAAAGATTCAAAGCAAACTTCAAGCTTGGGAGAATACTTATTTATCCAATGGGGGTAGGATTACTCTTCTGAAGAGTGTATTATCTGCCATTCCTTCTTATCTATTGCAAATGCATGTTATGAAAAAGGCTACTCAAAGACTTTTGGAAGGAAT